AGAGAGAGAGAGAGAGAGAGAGAGAGAGAGAGAGAGAGAGAGAGAGAGAGAGAGAGAGAGAGAGAGAGAGAGAGAGAAAGAGAGAGAGAGAGAGGTTCACTCTGTGGGCCAGAACGACAATAAATAGCACCGGTGGACACGGATACACCACGCAGTAGTGAACCTGATCGTCGTTGAAATTGAAGACTAACATACATTATACACAGACATAGACGGATGCACAGTTTGAGCTTCCCACGCGCATCAAAACGTATGTGCAATGGTTATTTATGCTACTACTCTATTGCTCTATGCTCTGCATGTCTGTCCTCATCCCTGCAGTCTAACATGGTCTGTCGTGGTGTGTGGGTGTGTCTATGTGTGATGTCGTGGCCGAGCACTAACTATTGCATCTCTTGTTGATAAGCCGGGATGCAATGTCTCTCCACAAGTAGTCGCCAGTGCGTCGTGGATGAGGCAACTGAGGTTGACTCCCAATGTCAGTGATGTCGCTAGCACAGCCTCTCTGTTCACCAAAACAAACCATCCCTTGCCAAAACGTGACCACTTTTTCCCCTTGTTGCATTATTTCATAATGTTGGTCACTGCGGCATACTGCAGTCCGCCATCAGGTATTGCCCCCTTCATCATAACACACAACACTTTTTGCGGATCAGGAAAAGCATGTGCCAACCTCAGAATTGCATGTGCCCACCCTTTTGTCACTTGTCCACTCGCCCCCTTCAAATCATAGTACACATCACGTTCCTCTCCTTCCTCATCGCTGCTGACATAATTGCCACTCACTTCCACCTCAGAAGATGATGCCCCGTCATCCTCTTCTTCATCTTCTTCTTCTGCATTTCCTGTGTACTCTGCAAGACAACTTGGTAACTCGGGATCTTGGAATCCACGATCACGCTGTTGTTCACCCATTGTGAAGCCATTGAACATAGTTTCTTCCTCTATCTCCTCTGTCGTTGTCGTCTGCACGGGAGGTACAACAACTAACATACTGTTCATTGTTTCCTGTGCCGCTGATGTCTGTCCGTTGTGTGAAATCATTGCAAGATTTGTTTCCCTGACCATCGACTTCCACTGTTCTTCTCTTTTTCTTTGTCTCTCAACATCACAACTGGCATGACCGAGCTGCTCCAAAGCAGCATATAATATACCCTCCCACAACGGTGTGCCACATATCATGATGTCTTCCTTTCTTGCCGGCATATATTCAATTAGCTCTTGACCCTGCAGTGCCAACTCAGTGACTTCATGCAATGCCTCATGGATCACGTTCCTGTCGTCGGGACTATTTTTCATGAAGTCCACAAGTTGATCCAGTAGAACATATTCGACACCATCTGCGACTATGACAGGAACATCTTGAAAGTCTTCTGGAGGTGTTTGTGTTATGTCCTTCATTCTGGACAACATCAAAATTTTCGATGCACCGGTCTTCAACTCGTCCTTCGACCCATCAACAACCATTTCCGAATTCTTAGCAGAAGTGCCCAGCAACTTCTTGAAATCCGAAGGTGTATATCTCCCCCCTTTCTGCAGCATTGTCATGTCCACGTCCCCTTCTTCGCACATCCCTTCGCTTCACATCCACTGAACTACTCCTTTCAGACTATATGCACTGTCTTCCACGTCGCTGTCTACACGTATATGTGGTGACTCTCTGAAGCGCTGCAACAGTGTTTGTGCTTTGACTCACCCCTCGCCGTTTGCCATCATCGTGGATCTCATATCCACATTGACAATGAAGCACCTCGGCACCCTGTCCTCAAGCAAAGAGAACTCGCTGTCATTGTCGTAGTGAACGCCCTCCTTTGCATACTTCATCACCTTTGCAAGAGCAACCTGCACCTGCGCTACTGACATCGACATGATGCGTATTGTTCCTCTTTCCTCCTTTTCTCTCTGCCAGCGGAAATGCACAATGAGGTCAACGACTCTCTCTCTCTCTCTCTCTCTCTCTCTCTCTCTCTCTCTCTCTCTCTCTCTCTCTCTCTCTCTTCATACAAATCCGTGTGTATGTGTATCTGTGAGGCTGTATGTGTGTGTGTGTGTGTGTGTGTGTGTGTGTGTGTGTGTGTGTGTGTCGTTTATGTGTCAACCTGTGTGTGATGTGTGTCTATGTGTGTATGACTGTGTATGTGTCTGTGTATGAGTCTTTCTTTGTTTATATGTCTGTGTATGCGTGTGTGTATGTGTGTATGTGGGTGTCTGCGCATGTGACTGTGTGCCTGTTCCTAAGTTGGCTACTGCGTTCCATTTGAAGTCGCAACGGAACTGTGTGGTCTGTGTCTGGTACGCAGTAGCCAACCCGAAGGGTGCATGCCAGAACGTGTGTGTGTGTTTCTGTGTGGCTGTGTATGTGTGTCTGTGTACGACTGGCTGTATGTGATTCTCTGTCAGTGTGTGTGTAACTGGGTATGTGTGAGTGTCTGTGCATGTGACTGCGTGTTTGTTCCTAAGTTGGCCACTGCGTGCCATTTGAAGTCGCAACGGAACTGTGTGGTTTGTGTCTGGCACGCAGTAGCCAACCCGAAGGATGCATGCCAGAATGTGTGTGTGTCTCTGTGTGGCTGTGTATGTGTGTCTGTGTAAGAGTGGCTGTATGTGATTCTCTGTCAGTGTGTGTGTAACTGTGTATGTGTGAGTGTGTGTGCCTGTGCCTGCGTGTCTGTTCCTAAGTTGGCTACTGCGTGCCACTTGAAGTCGCAATGGACCTGTGTGGTCTATGTCTGACACGCAGTAGCCAACCGGAAGGGTGCATGCCAAAATGTGTGTATGTGTGTGTCTGTGTGGAAGTCCAGTCACGGCCCGAGTTTCAAATGCGGTTGAAACTTGGGCTGCCATTTTGTAGCACTTGAGAAATAGATCGTGCCACGCACCGTCCCTGCCTTCAGTGCTCAAAGAAACCGGTACTTGGTCTGGTAGACGTGGAGTCTGTCTGTGACTGCAAGCGCGGACGGACAGTACCGCCACCTCTCTCTCTCTCTCTCTCTCTCTCTCTCTCTCTCTCTCTCTCTCTCGTGTGCGTGCGCGCACAGCGCACGCAAGCGAGAGAGAAAGAGAGAGGGAGAGGATCTGTATATGCTGTATCTCCGGTCCAGAACAGTCATCATCCTGAGTCATGAACAAAGTGACTGATGATCAATGTACATAAGCGGCCTTTCCGGTAGTATGCATTCATGATCAGGGAGAGCCCCTTGAGCAGTTGGATGTGTGGTTCTTTTTGTTTCCTTCTCCACGTTGGATGTTTTCATCTATTCGAAGGGTGGAGCCATGAATGTGTATGCGTGGTTTTTCGGGGTCGATACAGTCAGAAAACGATTCATTTTTGCTCGGGTGTGGCCGAGACATCTTTCCCGGGGCCCCGCCACGTGACGGGGAGGGGGTGGGGAAAAAAAAACAAAAAAAATTAAAAAAACGAAAAAAAACGAAAAAAAAACGAGAAAAAAAAAACAAAAAAAAAAACTGCGAAGCCGAAGGCCTTGATAAGCCCTACTGGGCCCTTTTTTCAGTACAGTTGGCCGTCCTAAGTAAAGTCAGGCCGACCAACGCCTCTTTTTGGGTCAACACTCTACTGGGGAAATTCAGGCAGTTGCGCACTGCCAGTTGGTTGAAAGCGCCCAGGCCCTCGCTACCTTTATCAAATACATCTAGGTCAGGCCCTGGGCGAAATACGCAACAAGGACCCAACACAGGCTGCGGGCAGTTGGGCACGGGTAACTGTCACAGGCCCTGGGCCTGGTTCGTTCAGACTGGGGCTCAGCCTCCCGGGGCCTACCGGAAGCTTCTCCGCCGGGGCCCGGTGCAGCCGGGTAGCATGCAGCAGGCAGGCCACTTCCATTTAGGAAAGTGCCTGCYTCCGCATTCCTCGTTGGGGCACTGGCTGCACTGGCTGCACGCTGCGCAAGCACTGCTGTGCTAAACGCTGGCCAGGCTCACACTCGGGCGAGCAGGGAGAGCAGGCAGCCATAGCYGAGCTGCACTGCATAGCTGGATGGGGCGCATGGTGGTCCTTGCAGCTCSTGTTGCAATTCTGCTTTTGGTTGGATGTCACGACTATCTGGTCTCATGTGTATGATGCTGCTTGGTTTCTGAAGTTCGCTACATCTCATTTTCCTTGCAAAACGAAAAAAAACACGAAAAAAAACAAAAAAAAAAAA